ATTATAAGCCTGGTACCTTTAATAACTATTAGCGTGTCGTAATGTTCTATTGTATTGTTTATTTGTGTGTTTCTCTGTCCTGTATGTTCTTCCATTTATTTGTATTGTAGTCCTGTCATGTAATGTTGTCATTTTAGTGTTATATTTAACATTACCATAAAAGCGGGAGGTTTGGCTAGCCACAAAACTAGGTTCAACCCACCATTTTTTCTTAAAATGTTCTGTACCAAGTCAGGAAAATGGCTATTGTTATCTTATAGTTCGTTTCTGTCTGTGTTGCATTGTCGTTTGGTTTTTTGTTGCACTTTAGTGTTTCTGTTGTTTCGTGGTTCTCCTCTTATATTTGATGTGTTTTCCTCAGTTTTAGTTTGTAACCCGGATTTGTTTTTTCTCGATTTATGAATTTCGAACAGCGGTATACTACTGTTGCCTTTATTTTTTTCCACATTTCTAAATGTGCTTTTGTTGTAACAGAAATGCAGAAAACAGCCATTAATATGTTTAACCAAAGAAAGCAACAAAAACCACAATCTTTGAACATGCGTAGCGGGATCGACTAACTTTTCAGAAACACTTGTGTTGTTTAAAAGTAGTATATGTTGCTTTTGCTTTAGGGTCAAGTGTTGTTTTTTTGTGCTATTTAGTTTTTAAATGTCTTCGCTGTTATGGCGTAATAGTCTTGTCTATCATTTGTCTTGAAAACATGTTGTTGTTGGTCCAACACATCAAGCTTCAAATAATAAAGTTTTTGAATTTGAATCGTAGTAATACGATTATTTAGTAAAACTAGTTATGATTAAATGAGCACTCAGGTAATCCCACAAAAGAGTCTCCCCTTGGGTTAATTTGTCTTTTTTGCCAATTCTTTCGCCAAAACAATATATTTTTCGCCATTTCAAAATGTATTTGTCTTCTATTACACTAACATTCGTTACAAATTTTCCTTCTTTCTATCAAAAACCAATTCAGTTTGCTGCATAGCTGTCTATGTTTTTACATATCTATGTTTAAATCTACATTATAAAAATGGAAACTCATTTATAACAAACATTATGTTTCAAAATATACTGTAAAATTGCAATATAAATCATGAAATCAAATGTTTTTCTTCTTTGAACACGGATTAATCTGCAATGTTATAAGATTATCGGATACTCCCGACTAGTTTAAGGATAACCACTATTCATTATTAAAAAAATTGTCAAAAAAAAATATTTATCCAGGAAGCTTTCAAATTTAAAAATGGAAGCAAACACTATAAATTGTATTGCTTAGGGATACTATGAAGCATATTGTTTTAATAGTAAAAAAAAAGGAAGCGCATGCAACATCGAGGAACAAGAAATCAGCATGCTGGAGTTACTTCTTGCCAACATTGTTTTTTAATTTGGTGGTGGACTCTTTTAAGAAACTGTCGGCATTTCTAAGGGAACGAATTTTACGCCTCTCCTATTGACCTCTTCTTTTTCTCATATGATTTGGAGTTCATTCAGATACATCTCAAAGACAAGACGATCAAAGAAGCTAGATCATGTGATTTCACATTCAGGTATGTTGATGATATTCTTACCATTGACAATCCAAACTTTCCTGATTGGGTTCCATTAATATAACCCAGAACTAAAAATGAAAGAAACAACAGACACAACTTTCTCCGCCTCACTTTTACACTTATGTCTCGTATTAGACATAAGCGGTCATCTCAGTACCAAAATCTTTATAAATCGTCACAGTGTCTGTATAGAAGGTTTATGAACCAGGGTTATGTCAAATAACGTCTCGTCCCTTTACTATAAAAGTTCATCGGAAGACACCAAGACCTTATTTATAAATAACCAGTTTCAACTTATCCAATAATACATGATGTTCTTGAAGTTAATATTATAGATACTGACGTTGTTTATCATCTTAATTTCGTGTTCTAGTGTTATTTTTATTTTTATTTGTCTTTGTATTTGTATATCTTTAACCTTCACTGCTAATTCCCATTTGGCTCGGTATTTTTACTTCCCGCCATTGTGTTGTGCTATTTTCATCTATTTTGTCTGTTTATTTGTTCACACATTGTTAACGTTACAAATATAATGGAAGTTACGCGATTGTTATGAATTAGAAAAATGAGAGGTCTAGCTAGCTATTAAATCAGGTTAAGTCCACCACATTTTCATTAAAAACATTACTGTACCCAATCAGGAATATGGCAGTTGTTTTCTTTTCATATGATGTATTTAAGCTATTGGTTTTGCCATTTCCTAAGAGACTCACCATTCTAAATTTTTCTTAGAGGTCGGTACTTTTGTTATTTAATTTGTTTTTCTATTTCAAATTTTCAGATTAATTCAAGTGTCAGGGTTGGTACATTTGACTGACTGATGGTTTATTGATTTGTTGATTTCCAAACGTTAGATGATAGTAAAAAATCAGTCATCTTTTGTGTGATGCCTAGTCACATGATATGAAGAGTAACACGGTGGGTGCCGCAAATTGAACAGTATTTGCTTACTATTCCGACGTAACTGTATTCGCCCCGGTTTTTAATGGGTTTCGTGTTGCTCAGTCTTAAGTTATCTGTGTTATGTTTAATCTGATGTTTGTCTTTTAGAATTTTGTTTTGTCATGGCAATGTTTTGAATATTCCTTTAGTATCTTTCGCAGCTCTTTTTTGCTTCAACAGTGCATTTACGAGTTAAATAAAGCCTTTCGTTGGATTGTATTTCTATGTATTGTTTTGACGTTTTCCAAAAGAACACTTGCAGTCACAGATGCTTCGTTGCCATATGGATATAATAACAAAATATAAATGTTCCATATGAATATTTATTTTTGCATGTCTTCTTTCAAAAAAAAAAAATAAAAAAAATACCAAGTTGTAATATCTCTTAGAAGGATTTGATTGTAAAATATATTTAGACTTTCAGAAACTTTGCAAAAACTGTAATATATGTAGAAAATTGATATTTAGGATCGTGAAAGATCGGGTACCGCATTTTGATGATCGTGAATATGATCGTGAATGATCTGTTGCCGCTTATTCGTTATTACAGAAAATCAACGAAAACTCTCGAGTCTTTCTTTAAACAAGTGATTATTTATGCTTGTAATCGGTGCATCAACCGATTGGATTCATATAGATAGAAGAAGACTTATTCTGCTTCACTTTTATTTGTAAATAGGGGTATAATGGTTCAATGCCATTAAATATGATTTTTTTATAATACCGCACTGACTAGTTTTCTTATAACAATATAAGGGTGTATGTCTGTCCTGAATAAGGTTTGTATTGTTTGAAAAGTTAAGATTGTCTCATCTGATTCCCATTAATTTTTATGCATAGTGATATCTGTAAAACGAAGATCCTTGTTGATTTTTGTAAAAAAATAGGGAAAAAAAACATTGTTTAAAAACAAAACAGCAGAAAAACAACTGTCATATTCCTGACTTGGCACAGGCATTTACCTAAGCAAATGGTGGGTTAAATCTGGTTTTCCTGCTTGCTATACACCCACTTGTATGACATACAACACAACGTTTAATAAATAAAAGAAGAAGTGGTATTAGTGCCAATGAGACAACTCTCATTCCAAGTCACAATTTGTAAAAATAAACTATCATGAGTCAAAGCATGGCCGTCAAGGCACCTTGGCTCAGAACAAACAAACGCATTGACAATCGAATTAAACAAATACGTCAACCAAAAAAAAAAAGATTATGTAGTTGATAATACAGCCTGTATAGTAAAGCATAATTAAGGAGCACCTCAAGTGTCATGTAAATATAAATTATTATGTTCGTTTGCGGTATATTTAATCTTGCACGCACCAATTTGAAAACTCGTGCAAACGACTTTTTAACTTGTGTGTACATGACTTTCAAACACTCGCTCACGACTTTCAAAAATTGTGTTCACGTCCTTCAAGATCTGGTGCGCATGACTTTCAAACTGGAGCGCATGACTTTTAAACTGTTGCGTATGACTATCAAAATGGTATGCAAGACTTTCAAAGATAGTGTGCAAGATTTTCAAGATCTGTCGCACACGACTTTTAAACTTGTTCGCATGATTTTCAAACTTGTGTGCACGACTTTCAAAATGGTGCATACGACTTTCAAACTCCTGTGCACCAGTTTAAAAGTCGATTGCATCAGATTTTGAAATTTATGCACACTAATTTTCATATGTCATAAGCACGACTTTTCACATTGTGCACAACAGCTTAACAATTACTTGGCACTTAAGGGGCTCCGTAAGGGTCGCCTCTCATAATGACATATACACTAGGCCGATAAAATTCATAAAAATTAGAATACAAGTACAAGCGTATACAAAATGAAACTACGCTATAAAAACCCTCATGTGTCCTTCTGGCATCTCTGGACCAATCCACATAAAGAACACCAAGAGTAAAAAATCTGAAAGCTGGATGCACATATACCGAACCACGACAATAGGCTTACCTTCAAATGGAACATAATACTAGAGTAGTACAAAGGCAAATACATATAAAACTGTAAAGTAGATAAAATGCTGCACATAGTCAACACCTTAAACCCTGGTTCATTAATTGATTGCGACGGCACTGATAACGTTTTACAAACTCGATATGAGTATCAGCTGCAATCTCTTGAAAATCGTATGAGTTCAGAAATTTATACTTCATAGACGGATGAAATTTTCAAATTGAAATCATCTCGTTTGTCATAGACTCTGATATTAAAAGATGACCGCTGTAGTCAAATTCGGGGAATATGTCTAAAAATGATTTAGAGGAAGCTTTGTATGTGGTGTCTATAATATCTAGTTCAAGACTATACATAGGAACAAATGGAGATCATTCAAGATCACTTCTCGGTGTGTTAAATAGTTTTACCTTTACCTATATTATACTTTGGTATCGAATCAAGACGTAATAGTATATTTAAAAAATGTCATAAAAGTATTACCTGTGGTATATCAGTTATCTTTTGCTTTAAAAAAAACAGTGTTTAACTACATGAATAAGTATTCTAATGAAAGATTGTGTTTTATTATTAGAATATTGTATTAAAACTCTGTAGGTTAGATACTTAAAATTAAATAATGTTAACACAAATAACAATGAAAATCTGATTAACAATGTACAAAGTCAATATACTACATTCCAATGAAAATAGATTATCTTGGTATCATTGAGGCCTTGTTAGAAATTATCATTAACATACAATAAGCAACGAAAGCGGTGTACTGTATTGTGCGCCGGAAGGGTAAGCAGATCCTGCTCAACATAGAAGCTGCGATGACTTAGTTTCCAAAACGGTTAAAAAGCTAAAAAGGGCATATTTCTTGATGAGTTGAAAGTTATGACCGTTCTGATATTTGCATGCCTATGTGGAGATTTATTATTCTACTTATTTGGGAGAAAGGTCTAAATATACTGATAAATAAAGTATTGATATATATGTACTTATACTAGTACTGTCAGACTTTATTTACAATAAGGTAATTTGTCAAATAAACAAAAACGCAACCTAGAAAATAGTCGTCTCAGTTCTCAATGTTAACCATTGATATCCTTACCGCAATCGATGTAAATTTGAGGAGACATTGTAATTTAACAACAGATATACTTTAATTTCAAAACAATTTGAAGGTTGGAAATGATGTTTAAATTTGATCAAATTATCGATTGGGACATAGTTGTTTCACAGGAAGAAATGATTAGTTCAGTCAGAACCTCATTAGATTCATGCCCTTTAAAAGTTACCTGCAAAAGATAATACCATATCAACTGAGTGTAAAAGAACAAAAGAGGTACACTCCATTAACATGAAAACTCTCCTTTATATTTGGATCTTGACTGTCTTGATATATTTTATCTAAGCATAAATAAAAAAGGGAAAAATAACAAATACAGTACTAACTTTTTAGCGTTCACACAATTAATCCACTATGGAGATAACACTTACATTGTTCATAAAATGCTACGTACTCAACTAGAAGAATTGAAATTCAACTGTAACTCAAATACGAAATCAAAATTTTAGTTAAAGGTTATTCCTTAAATCTAATTTAAACTCGAATGTGAGCTATTCTTTTAATTCTAAATCAGAATCCATACTCGATAGTGAATAAAAAAACTAAAACTCTTAACTTATCTCAAATTTGAACTAAATGTTCGACTACTAGTATTTAAATTTATGATGCATATTGTTACGTTATAAAAAATCTGTAACATAAGATGCAACCATGTATTTTTAATTCTTATCAATTTTTCATGAAAACAAACAAACAATTATACAAATATATACACAATATAAAACAACAAATAACCCGACTTTATAGTACAAATGTGAACAAGTTCAATTTGAAAAGCATATAATCCATATATAAATTAAGATCTATTCAAATTATCTCTGATTATATAGTTATTCTTCCACGAACGTTGGTTCAGCTCCAAAATTTATGTGTATATATCCATTTTGCTTTCTCAATCCTTTTGTCTAAACAACTTAATCTAGACAGACTTGCGGAGTATATATGTGTCCGACTTGAATATACAAAGTTCTAAAAGTAACCATATCAACTGATATTGTATGACACTGTCCATTCTGGTAAATATTTAAATATATTTTTGTAAATATTCCATGATACACTATCAACGATGTAAGCAAGTTTATAAAATAGTTATATTCTCAAAGGTTATAGTATACCAAAAACGGCTTGTAGCATCCTTTTTACAATCTAGATGGGTAAAAGCTAGGATCAATATTAACATTGACTTATTAATCCTAGGTAAAAGGCGTATTATTATTTTTCACTACACAGATTAAAAATTCCTTTTCGATATTTGATTTGGTCAATAAAATTTTGATGTCACTTTCTCAATGTCTTCTAATACAAAACCACTCTATGTAAGACGCAGCCTCTATTATCCAGTTAATCCCTATTTCAAAGCTTCTGTCGCTGGTTTTACTGAGACAATGCAATAAGGATCTAAAGTGAAAGACAAATAATCTTTAGTTCATTCTGCTGAAAGTAATAGCATCTTTGCAATAATTAATCGATATCATTATACTGACGTTGTTTATCATCATAATAACGTGTTATAGTATTCTTGTATTTGTCTTGATGAATATTACTTTTACTGTTTATATAAAAAAGAAGATGTGGTATGAATGCCAATGAGACAACTCTCCACAAGAGACCAAATGACACAGACATTAACAACTATAGGTCACCATACGGCCTTCGACAATGAAGTCCATACCACAGAGTCAGCTATAAAAGGTCCCGAAATGATAATGTAGAACAATTCAAACGAGAAAACTAACGGCCTAATTTATGTTAAAAAAATGAACGAAAAACAAATATATAACACACAAACAAACGACAACCACTGAATTACAGGCTTCTGACTTGGGACAGGCTTATACATACAGAATGTGGTGGGGTTAAAATAGTCTGTTTTTGGTGATATTTTTTGTCGTCTGTACTTATACAACTCATCGATGTGTTATTGTTCTATGGTAAAAAAATTGTATTCACGTCTTTCAATTTTGCTAATGTGTTTTGTCTAATATATGCCTTTTGTGTTTCTTTATGACGTGGCTCTGTACATCCCGTCATTGTGTTATTGTGCTATGATAATTTGTTGTATTCTTGTCTTTCATTTTTACAAAGTGCTTGGTCTATATGCCTTTTTGTGCTTCTTTGTTACATTTGTTTGTTTTCATAGTGATTAAGATTATAACACAATGTTGACTGATGTACATATACTCCTATTTTTGAAATTCTTACCTATTATGTCTGTTTGTTTTGTTCACATTTCGTTGTCAATATAATCACTGATAATGGAATTCGATGCGACTGTCATACAAGTGAGATGTTAAGATAGCTATAAAACCAGGTTTAATCCATCATTTTCTACTTTAAAAAAATGCCTGTACCAAGTCAGAAATATGACAGTTGTTATCCATTTGTTTGATGTGTTTGAGCTTTTGATTTTACCATTTGATAAGGGAATTTTCCTCGGAGTTTAATATTTTTGTGATTTTACTTCTTCATGCAAAAATGCCAAGTGTTATTTGTTGAGGGTTCGATTCTACTCTAACACATGGCTCAGTGGGTGAAAATGTTTTGAAGACTATTCTCTCGTTCTGAGCAATCAAAATTTGATATTTGAAAAGACTTTAATTTACTGTATAAATTTCAAGTACTTAAGTGTCAATCTGCCTAAGAATTAGACAGCGCTGAAAACATGAGGAACAAAATTAAGCTCACGTATACAGTAATTTAAGTTCAAAATTTATGATAACGCACGAACAGAACTTTCGTTTTCTATTCTTGTTCTGATATTTCAAAATTAAATTTGGTTTACATGCACTAGAAATAAAAGAAAAACAAAAGGGAGCTCACTACGTAATTTGCTATCATTCTATTCACAATTATTTAGAAATTTTTTGAAATACAAGACATGCAGAAACGAAAGACATACCATTTATAACTCAAGATGAAGGTAACTTTAAAACAGGACGGGAAGAATATTAACTATATTTTCTTCATAATATCGTATAAGGTTTTGTAAATATATGAGTTTTTGAGCAAGCAAATTATAACTCATATATGATAGTACAATTACAGCAAGCGTATATTTAAATATATATTGTTTTTCCAATATATACTACAGTCAAGTTTTAGCCAAACATTTATTTAACTAGAATCAACCAGTATCTTCAAACAATTTGTTCTATTGAAACTTGACTATATAAAGCGTCATGGGTCAGGGAGAATATGAATAAATTTCAACATGAATGTCATTGAATATGAGATTCCATACTCCCATATTCCAATACTTCGATATGGGATGTATTAAATTTCTTATAAAAAGTTAAAAATATTTTTAAATGTCGCCTTCGAATATTTTAGGAGTTTGATAATCTACATGTGTATGACATATAATAGTTACAACAGTCATTTGATCGAGTAGCCTACTGGTCAGTTGGAGGAATTAAAAAAAAAAATGATATGAGTCTCTTGCACGTGTCCATTCCACTTTAGTTGAAATAGAGAGATATTGAAATTTACCCACAATGGCTGAGAATTTGTTATAATCAACTAGATCATGCTTTTTAATTTTCATTTATTGAAAACTAAATTTTAAGATCGACATCTTTTCAAGTTGAAGACAAGTTTTGTTTATCCCTAATTTGAACTTCAGTCTGCATTATAAAAAAGATAGCGTCAATTGAAATAAAAAGATAACTTATGAACAGTGACCCCGTGTGTTGTATTTGCTTGCGGTATCCCTTTAAATCTTGAAAATGACGATTTTGTCGATGTCAGAACGAAAAACTTGATATTCGTATTGGATAAGCTGATGTCAACCGCGTTGATTCTAGAATAAATAATTTGTTTACAAAAAGGAGTAATTATAGAAATTGATCGGTAGTGGAATCAAATGAAAACATTTATTTGAGTAAAGACCATACACAGAGATGAAACTGTTATTACTTTAACTCTTTTGAACAATTCCATAGATCAACAAAGTGTTCGGCATTTGCCTTGTTGACCAAAAGGCGAGAATCAACGAATTGTTGAGACTGCACACTTATGTCTCGTAAACAGGTGAGGACTTGATACACAATCCACAATCACTACTTGAGACGATGAGGTGGAAGAGAACGGCATATTGATAGACGAGTCAGACATATCAAAGGAAGACGTAGAAGACACGTAATAGGGAGATAACTCTGACCCCATAAATGATAGAGAGTATCTGAAAGCTTTTCGAACATGTACACTGTCCTTTGTTAACCTTCAATATTAAGAGAATCACATACAAGGAGGTTGCGGGACCAATAAATTGATCGACCTCACCATATCGGAAAACACACTTGAATATGTCTTGAGCAGTCACCATTGTGTGTGTAGACGATTTACCTGCATAAATCATGGACAAACACAAGGCGTTCGTGGTCAATCGGACAATTGTGACAGACAAAGAAGTCACTGGGTTGCCTTTTATTTTCCAGCATCAGGTCCGACTCCATAGAACAACCTCCAGAAATGTATGAACGACGTTTTAGAAACGTACTGATCGTTAAAGGGGCAAACTACTACTTTTCTAAATGTCAAATACAACTCAATGATTCGGTAAGGTGTAGACTGTATTGCACTTCCTACATAAAAAAGAAATGGCGGATATTGTGAAAGAATATTCAACGGAAGACGTGAATAATAACGATAGCCCACCAAACACAGAACATTTTAGAAACGTTTTTTAAAGGTTTCAAAAAGTTAGTGTCGAAAAACGTTTTAGAAATTTGTTAAACGTAATAAAAACATTTTTTCAAAAATGTTTTTGATGAACACAAATAATACATTTTAAAACAACGTTTTAAATTTGTTTTTTAATAATGTTTCAAAATTGTTTTTTAATAAGTGTAGAAAAGCTTTATAAATGATGTGTCCCATATCACCACAACATTTTTGTTTTTAATAATTACTTTCAATTTTTAATTTACAAAAAGTCATTTTCGATCTTCAACATGTAATGATATGTCAAAAAATTCTTGTATTCTAATAACTGGTTTCTTTTCTGTAGAACCGGGAACCGGTTGTAACTTTTTAGTTAGTTTCGTATTTTATTTCTATAGATCTATTTTTCTTTATCGCATCTCTAAAGTATTATCATATTCGAAGATTGACATTTAAATTGAGAAAATGTATAATTATTTACGATAATATTTGGTATCAAAGCAGAATTCTTCATAGATAAAATGTGTTCGAAACTTCCGGATACTCCCACCGCCTTTTTTAAATTGGGAAAACAACGATACATGGATACTAAAAAGAGCAGTTCCATTTTACTTACATACAGGCAGAGAGTAGATTGAGACAGAATGGCGTTCAGTCTAAGAGGTATGTATAAAATCAATAAACAGTCGATGTATTTTGTAGAAATTGAGACAAATTACTGCATTACTTTCTCCATGACATTCGTATGATTAACAGATTTAACTACTACAGGCATACATCCACATTCACCACTGCATGATGCCATCACATGTCAATTTGTCATGCCTCATGGGCTACTGGTCTGACTTTTACACGAGTAAAATAAAAAACAAGCCTTCGAAGACAGCATAATTAATTATTTAAACTACCCATAGCGTAGTAAAATAATAATGACGTTTTTTACGGCTTTCTTATTTGATAAAAAATTTAAACGCCTTCCTCCAACTTCGTAGCAACAGCAAAAATCAAAAATATCCTTTCTAGACGTCATATTTATTTCGACTACCCATAGCCGTGCTGCCAGTGCTGGGCCTCATTTCACAAAACATCTTATGTTTGACTAAAATTGATTGTAACTTGCCAGTCATGAACAATTCAGTATACCCCAAAATGTAACTGCATTTGATACGTTACACGATAGAAACATATTGATAACCATTAAAAAGTAATCATAATCAAATGTTATAGTAAATAAAAATAAATTAGGCCAGGGCAACTGACGAAGATGAACGGCCTTGGTCGAACTTGACCTAAATGATATCCGAAACACCAGGTGTAATATCATCAAATTAATTCATAGACGACCAGTTGATTACCACAGATCATTTACGTTGGGAAAATCCTTTCAAATAAATAGATGTGTAAAAGTTTATAATGTAACCACAGAACAATCTACCGAGAAAAGGTTAAATCAGGTTTTAACAGTTAAAGATAATATATATAATTTAAAGTAAATATATATAATCGTAACATGCTATATATATGAATCACCAAATCATGCATTAACAAAGCAATTATAACAGAATAAACCTGTAATTGAAGACAAACATTCAATTGCATATAAAACTGCATATAACGTATACACAGCGAAACATGGAAAATCATTATAGAAACTCGATACGGACAAGAAATAAAATATCCTATAGGCAATAATATAAATAGGTTTTGCTAAGATTGGTTCATGGATACGATTATTT